CCACAAATGGAGCATTTATAAGTTTTACTATACAAGTGTGCAAAGTGTACGGGTTTAGAAGTTGTAGTACTAGACTTTGCACCCAAGTCCATAAGTTTCTTATTATCTACAATGCATGTTTTAAGGGTTGAATCTAAAGATGATATTCGGTTTTTCACAAGATTCAATTCATCATTATGCATACAAGCATTGGAAATAGAAGTAGATGAAACATGATCATTTCTAAAAGAATTAAACTTATTTCTAATAGTTTCTACTTCTATCATGGCATTATTATTAGCATGAGTTAAGCTAGCAATAGATGAAGACATGTTATTATTTTCCAAACTTAATAACTCATTGTTTTCTTTTAAAATAGCATTCTCTTTAACAACAATATCAAGTTTGGAAGCTAGCGACTCATGATCGGATTTTAAACTAATATGCTTGCTTTTAAGATCAATAAAATTGTTTTGCAATTTTGTATAGGCATGAGATAATCTATCATATGCACAAGCGAGTTCATTGATGGATATATCACTATCGGATTCCGAATCGCTTACCACACTAGGGCTATCGCCTAGTGGCCGTGTGCATGATGATGCTCCACACTCACTTGAAGAACAATCCTCCAAACTACGTCGGATTTCCTCCAAGTTGCCTTGATGTGCTTCTATGAATTTCCATAAATTGTAAGCACTATCAAAATGAACAAATTTGTTAGAAAATGATGAGTCAAAGGCATTAAGGAAATATTCTAACAAAAGCTTGTTCATTGAAAACATTTTCTTATCATGATTGCTCCACTTGGATATCTCCAAAGTGGGCACAATATAAGCACAATCAATAACTTCCCATAAGTCGATATTTCTAGATTCAACAAATAGTTTAAATCTAGAAGCCCATTGTGCATAGGGGAAATTAATGAATTTAGGAGCAATATTTGATTCATAGCCTAAACGAAATATATTCATATTCATGATATATATGTGAAAATATGCAAGCAAGACTAATGTAATCATAACTAGATTAGCACAAATAAGATAACTTGGATCTTTAACTCAAGGCGGTTAGACCTTAAATCAAAGAGCACCAAGCTCTGATACCAATTGTTAGACCCTAGAGGGGGGGTGATTAGGGTCTTATGCTAATCTAATCCGATTAAATGCCAATTAAAACTAATTAATACGTTATCCTAGCAAGTATGAAATACAACAAGATATATGAGCTAGGATAAGCAATATGAATAATGAAATATATCCTATATGATGAACTATATATGCAAGGATATATAAACACAATGGTAAACAATGTAAACAAGATAGTGGATGATATAGATAATGAGCTAATGACAATGGCGATATAAGATATGAACATAAATATGAATGAACGCCAAAGCACACTCAAACAAGCAATATGATCACGGAGTTCGGACCTTCCGTCCTACGTCTCCGCTCCCCACTCCCGGGGAGAAATCCACTAACACAATCCGGTTTGGAAGCCGGAACTTCTTCTACACACTCGGTTTTCTAGCTAACCGAAAACTCTACAACTCACACTCTTGCAATCACACTCTACACCCACTAAGTGTTGGACCTAGCCGTGTCTCCCTCAAGTGCTCGGTTACAACCTCTCCCTAGGCACGTCAACCGACGCCACTCCTCTTGGGACGATCCCCGACTCTCACCACACACTCCTCACTCGGTGTACAAGTGTATTACAAAGTGATTCTCACAATAAGCACAATATAACAAATGATTGTTCTCTCTAACAAGATGAGAACTCAATTAAGCTCACTCTCAATGTCACAAACCCACAACCCTAAATTATACTATGAATGTAAATACAATAAGCTCAATGGTTGTGTGTGTACAATGAGATAAATAAAATAATTAAACTCAATATAGAAATATAGCCTATGGAAATTTAGATCAAAACAATAAATAGCTAGAATTGAGTTTAAGGAAAACTTCTCTATAGATCAAGAGTGAGAGAGAGATGAGTTGAATGCCCAAACACCAAATGATGATCTCCTCTTTGCTCTTGTGAAATTTGCTTCACAAACTAAAACCCTTAATTGCTTAAAAGCTTTTTAAACCAAACTTAAACAAAACCTTAAACAAGTTTAAACCCTTGTTAAACTATTTTTTAAAATAATCTCTTGGAGAGCTTGAGAGTTGAAGACAATGGGTATTTATACCCTCTCACAACTCAGCCAAAAACTACCCAAGAAAAGGACAAAAAGACCCAGAGAAAATCGGCTCAGAAAAGAGCCGTTAGAAAGCAACGGTCACATAGTCGGTCGACCGGAAATATCGTCGGTCGACCGCGATGAAGATCCCAACCTGGGAATCGAGCAGAAACAGCGTCGGTCGACCGTACCGGTCGACCGGAGGAAATTTCGGTCGACCGACCAAAATTTCGGTCGACCGGATTACTGTAGCAATGCACAGCAATTTTGTAAAATCAATTTAAATAGTAAATGAACTCCAAAAATTATGAAATTTTGTGGGAATGTTCTAGACATGTAGATTAACATGTCAGAGAAAGAATTTCTGAAAAATATTTTCCCAGTTGAGAGAAATAAATGTTTGAACACAAAAATACAGTTTCTGAAAATCTGCTGTGATACACGATTTTGTAAAATCAATTAGGCATAGTAAATCAACTCCAAAAATAGTAAAAACTGGAGGAAAGTTTATAAACATGTAGATAAACATGTCAGAGAAAGAATATTTCAAATATCACTTCCCATTTGTAAAAACTCATCAGTTTTGTAAAACATGCACGAACATGTGCACGAACGAAAACGTGAATTTGTAAATTCCTTTAAACATAACAAATCAATTTCAAACTTGATAAAACTTTGAGAAATGTTTGCAAATAATATTTTGAGCATGTTACAAAAAGAATTTTCCAATTTACATTTCCCAATTGTGAAATCTCATTATTTTGCAAAAGTATTCAAAACATGAAAAACCCAAAACCATGCATGTATATATATAACTATATATATACATAGAAACCAAATACGTGTGTGTATATGATATTGAGCTTAAGGTACTTAACACACATAATATAAAACCTAAACTAGATTACCCAAGCTTGATCTTGATCTTCATTGTAGCTCAACTTGGTACACATGCGGATGAAGCTTGAACTTGATCTTTAACTATGAATTGCATGTTGCTTCACTCCACAATTCCGCCAACCTCCATTTGATATCGTCGTTATGGCGCAATCCATCCATCCTCCAACTACGTTGTTTGTCTACAATACATAGGAATGCACAAACACTAGACAAAACGTGTGCAAACTTAGAATAATCATCTATAAAAGTAATAAAATATTCTTTATTACTATAAGTTTTGACACTTAGGGGACCACAAATATCCGAGTGCATCAACCCTAAAAGTTCATTGGCTCTCTATCCGCCAATAAAAGGTTTTCTAGTCATTTTACCAGTTAAACAATATTCACATGGTGACAATTGAACATTAGATAGTGCAGGAAGCAAGTTCATTCTGATAATTTCTTTTATTTTTGAAATACTAGCATGTCCTAATCTAGAATGTCATAACTCAGACTCAGAAGTATAACATGACAAGTAGTTCAAATTCAAAATTTTATTATCCGAATTATTACAAACTACTGGAAGAATGCATAATTCATGCTCGGGCACATATTTTTCCATAGCATATACTTTATTATTCTTGCCTATAGAAACCCTTTTATTATAGAACCTGATTTCCAATCATTTCTTCATCAATCTGGGAACAGAGATCAGATTACGCCGAATTCCTGGCGCATAGAACACATCTTTGAGGACAAGAATAATGTCCCTAAGATCCAATCTATATGAACCAATACCTTCTACATCGAGATATGTATTATTTCCCATATAGATTCTCTGTTCTCCTTTCTTAAGCTCGGTGAATTCTATGACTCCTTTCTTGTCCTTTGCGATATGCCTAGTCGCACCGGAGTCGATCCACCAACCACTGATATCCGTCATCACAGCATTACATTCCGTCACATCGACGAATTCTCTTTTGCTAGTACCCCCTTGTTCTGGATGCTTATAGGCTCCCTTATTCTCCTGCTTTTCACCTTGTGGGCAATTTGGGCTTGAAATGCCCGAACTTTCCATAATTGTAGCAGGCTCCGCGGAGTATTTTCTTTCTCTTGAATTGCTGTGACTTCGGTCCTCGCGATTGTGGTTTACTAGGACCAGGGTTTTTATAGCTTCCAGTATTATGCCTCTGGCGGACATAATTCAGCTCCTGCTGCACCATATTCAGTTCTGGTTCCTTCCTACTGGCTATTAAGTCTTGTTCTATCGCTAGGTGCATAGGAAGATCAATGACAGACTTGATGACAGGATTCATTCTTAACGTGGTGGAAGCCACAACAAGTGAAGGGGGAAGACTATTCAAAATGGTTGCCACTTGCATTCTTTCCAGGATTTCGGTCCCAGCAGTGGATAAGTCATTAGCCATGACAATCATTTTATTTATATGTTCTACGACATTGTCTCCCTCTTGCATACGACAAGAATTATACTTATGCAAGAGGAGTTAAATGTTAACTTCATAAGCAGTGTCGTATTTTTCTTTTATTGCATTCCACATGTCCATGGAAGTTTTATAAGTTTCAAAAACTTTGATTAAATTATCTTTCATGAACATGAGCATAAGACTTTTCGCCTTTTTTTCTTTCGACTTCCACTGCTCAAACCCTTTCTTTTCTTCAGGTGTTGATTTATCAGTAATGGTTGGAGCAGTGATTTCGATTATATCATCAATGTTGTCATGAATAAGAGCATATCCTATTTTTCTATGCCACATATCATAATTATTGCCATTAAATTTATTAATTTTTTCTAGTTCTGATAGAACAAGTTTACTAGCCATTCGGTAGAGAACTAAAACTAAAATTAATTTTAAAATATGTGTAAGGTTGATATTTTGACAATTATACTAAATAAAGTTAGATAAATCAATAAATTAATTAAAATGAACCTGATTTTTGTGAGTTGATGAAAGAGGCTCCAATTTGAGCGAGATTATCACTCAGCGAAGTTGATTGGATCAGCACTTGTCGAAGTTTTGTCGTCGTTTCTGACCGGATTTGGAGATGATTTGTTGCTGTCGTTGGATTCCACTGGATCAAGACAACTACAACTGACTGATTTTTTTAATGGAAATGGCTCTGCTTATCAAATAAAAGGAATTGAGGGGCTGCAAATGTAGGAAAGTGGGCCTGTTAATGTGGGCTTTTTAAGTATAAAATGGACAGATCAAAAGGTGAAAACAATGTGAATGTGGGCTTTGAAAAATAAAATGGTTGGGTTGCTTTGTAATTGGGCCTCATGAAAACTTGGGACTTGGGAGGGCACAGTTCTCATCTCTTGAAGTGGAGGGCACCGGTTCAGTTCAAACTCCTTCACAGTGGCAACGATAAGAAAAAACAGATCCAGAACCTAGGGCAAAGGGTTGACGGCGAAACCTCCGATGTCGTCGACTGATGGCGGAACCTGATGATACCATGATCCTTTCTCCAGTGATTTGATCTCCTCCAGCAGCCATCGAAGTCGCAACGTTGTCGTCGTCGATCGTCGATTAAGGCAGTCGTTGTCGATGGCGGCGTGATGGGAGTTGAGGATCGAGGCTCTGATACCAGTGTTTGAAGCACAGAGAAAAGAAAAGATGATATCTTTGAGGGGGGCTCCGGTAACAGGTTAGGAGTTTGCTTTTTTTTTCTTTTTTGTTGTAATTTCTCATGGAGATTAATCCTCTATTTATAGGCCGAAATCTCATCATCTCCATCCCCCCTCAAACTGCATCTGAGAGATTTCCTCTCAACAAACCCCATATCCCACATTTCTCTCCACTTGAGAAGGGTTGATTTGGTCACACAAGACCAAGTCAGACTAACACATATACATCCCAAAAAACTGTAGTGTTTTACAAACACAGTTTGGTGTTTGAACTCCTATGTTGTTGAAGTACTAAATAAATAATAATAATAATAACGAAAAACGAAACCTACTGGGTTAATTCCTAACAGATTCATCATTATATAATTTACTGCAAAAAGAATCAAATAACAATGATAGGGTTTTCTATGTAGTATCTCTTTTCGTACATATTTGCAAAACTATACCCAAAATCTCACTATTTGCAAAACTAGTCCCTAAATATCACTATCTGAAAAACTAGCTCCCAGAGCATTAACTTTAAGGGACAACCCCAACATCACATATCATCAACTTTGGTAGATATGAGGAGTAAAAATTTGTATACCAGTCAACTTACCTGCAGATCATAATTGAAACGAAAAAACTTGGGAAAAACCAAGTATTATCTCGACCTACAGATCGAGCATGTTCCTAAAGAAATATTGGTATACCAGTCAACTTACCTGAAGAAGGTCATGGAGAGATTTTAAATGAATAAATCTCATGAACTTAGCACACTAATGGTTGTTAAATCCCTTGAAGTGGATAAAGACTCATACAAACCTAAAGAAGACAATGAGGCTATTTTAGGACCCTAAATCCCGTATTTGAGTATGCTATTGAAGCACTTTGTAAATTGCACTATGCCTGATATTGCATTTATGTTACACTTGCTAGCAAGAATTTGTGCATCTCCTGAAAGGAGATATTGAAATAATGTTAAATATATCCTCTGGTATCTTCAAGAGATCTTTGTTTATTCTATAAAAAAAAAATCAAAATATGACATTGGTGGGCTATTCTGATGTTGGTCATATGCCTGATCCCCATATTGCCAAATCTCTGACTGATTATGTTTTTCTCTGTAGTGGTACTGTTATTTCTTGGAGGTCTATTAAGCAGACAATGTTTACTAGTTGAAACCACTCAGAAATTGTTCCTCTATATGTGCCCCATGCGAACGTGTAAGGTTCAAATCGCTGATAAAACACATTTGATGATCGTGTGGCATATTAAATGAGGATATTACCCCCGTTGTCTTTTCTATGGACAATGTAATTTGTGTTGCATAAATGAGATGTGGAAAATTTTTATCCACTTGCGCTCGAAAATAACAATGAAATTAACATAGATAAGTTCGCTCTAAGTAGTGACAATCTAGACAATTTGATCACCAAAACCCTTAATACATCAACTTTTAATTTTATGGTATCGTGCTTGGCCACCACGGTATGCATAGACTTGAATGTTTGTTATCTTGAGGGGGAACGAATTATTTTTCAGAATAATCCTGAAGATCAAACCTGAAGGCGGTGGCTGTACTCTTTTTTCCTTAGCTAAGTTTTTGTCCCACTGGGTTTTCTTACCCAAAGGTTTTTAACGAGGCGGCTAATGAAACACAAGTTTGGATCCTGAAGATCTATAGTTGTACTCTTTTTTCCTTTGCTAAGTTTTTGTCCTACATGAGTTTTCTTAGCGAAAGGTTTTTAACGAGACAACTGATGTAACAAAAATAATGTATGTATGTCATGTACTCTTTTTCTCGACTAGTTTTTCCCACTGGGTTTTTTCTAGCGATGTTTTTAACGAGGCATTGACATCACGAAGTAATGTCCAAGGGGGAGTGTTGAAATCTAGAAGACAAGATGAATGTGGACATTACTTGAATATGGACAATTAATTAGATGACTCTTCATTAGCTCATGTCCTTTAGTCTTCTTATTATCCATCTATATAATGTATGTCATGGACTACAAAATGTATGGAAGAATGAGGAAAATGAATAAAATGAGAATCACTTTTTTCCCTATTTCTTCTCTTGTCTATTTACATTTACATTTCATGTTTGATTCTTACTTTTGATATATATGATGTATGTAGATATAACAACAAAATTACAACAGATAGGGTTTTTATGTAGTATCTCTCTTCGTACATATTTGCAAAACTATACCCAAAATCTCACTATTTGCAAAACTAGCCCCTAAATATCACTATCTGAAAAACTAGCTCCCAGAGCATTAACTTTAAGGGACAACCCCAACATCACATATCATCAACTTTGGTAGATATGAGGAGTAAAAATTTGGCTATTCTGTCGATAGTTTTAAATTGTTTAACTTGATGACTAATGATTTCGGTGGTATTTTCTTTCCAAATTGATGATAACTTTTGCAGATATTAAGAGTTTGAGAGTAGTTCCGCAAATATGTACACTACACACGAACTTAAGAGGTATATATATATATATGAAGAAGAAAACAAAAACCATAACGATATTTATATGCCTACCAACGACAACCAAGCTCTTGAATCCGTTGCTCTGAAGAAGTGAGTTGAGTGTGTGTGGAGGAACGCACTAAAGCGTGACTTTACCAATTTATGTTCACCTTCCTTCGGTACCAGGCCGTCTACTAGTTCTGCACCTTTGGTACCCCTTGCAGTAGGGCCATTTCCACTAGCATACAAATGCCCTTGGAAGAGTTTCAGCCTCTCTCCCTCAAGGGTCGTGCTCGCGAACAACCTCCATTTTCCCGAGTACCGTTTCTATCAGAACCAGCGACCGGGT